TGATTGTATGTTGATATAATGAGATTGTATGAGGTGTGGAATGATTAAAATTGAGTGAGAATCCTTTGAAAATTCCAAGTGATAATTCGGCCATATAGAGAGTTTTGAGGAATTGAGGTCGTTTGCATTGCTTGCTTGATGTGTCAAGTGTTAAATGGTATTTAAATGAGTTGTGTGGTGGTTGGAAAGAGAAAGAATCAATAAAAAATAACAAATGGTGTTAAGGGTCATAAAGAAACATAGAGTGAATTATTATGCAAAACGATGCTTAAAAGACGTAAAACGGAAAAACGGCACTTGGATTAGCCTCTTGGCAACCTAAGGATATGTAATAAAATGAGAAAGAAAATTTAGAAAAATAAATTTGGATTTATTCCTTGTTTGGCCGAACCACCTAGTGTAGGTGTAGGATTTTGACGTTTTTCGCGTTTTGATGGAATTGCCGTGTGCTGACGCTTCGTACATGGATGTTGTAGGTTGTCGTACGTCGATTTGAACCCCGAACCGTGAGTCGGAGGATTACCCTTGGTCCTGGACCAAGTGGAGTGAGGTAAGTGGTTGGATCAAAGCATGTATAATTGTAAATTGGCATGTGTTGTATGAGTTCTTGAGTAATTGGGAACGTCCTATGTGTAGGCGTTCTGTTGAGTAACAAACTTGGAACCTAAGCTGCGGTGGAGCTAAGTGGAGTAACATATTGAGGTAACCTCTTGGTACTGGGGCTTGTTCCCCTTGTGTGTTCCTCATACCCGTTGAGGGTGATGGTACGAAGTGTATATGAGTAGTGTAGAACAGCATGAGCATGCATGTAGCATTTTCTGGCCAGTAGACAGTGTAGCCTTCGGGCAGTGCGGACTTCCACTGGATAGGTCTCCGAGAGGGAGTTCCAGTTGACCTAGGGTCGTGGTGTGTCATCCGGGTAGGAGCACACTAGGAAGTCTCGGGTGTATATAGATGGAAGGGGTACCTTGGTTGTGGTTCTTGGAACACGCCTTGGATGAGACCCGTAGGCTTATATATGCCGAGGACGTTGCGTGGTATTGGTAGCTACCATCCCACTTCGTCGTATTTTGTATCTTGATATTCCCCAGTTTCTCTAAATCTCTTGTTATATCCCGTTTTGAGAGATGTTGTTTTATATTATTTATATGCATCGAAGTGAACCATTGGGCGGAGTTTTCTCCAAAACCTCTGGGTTACTGAGATATATCCGTATATCTCACCCCGTCTTGGGGGCTTTATTTCAGGAGGTAACAGTGGCATTGGAGCAGCGGGCAAGAGGCTCGTAGGATGACTAGTGGGAGCACCTTTACTATTTTGCATTTTGTTGGCCATGTGGCCTAGGCTAGACTTAGGGCATGAACATCTCATATGTATGTAGGATGAGTCTCATAGCCATATTGTTCATGTCATTTTGCCTAAGTCTAGTTGTATATGTCATTTGAGTTTTTATGTTTGAAGTTGTAAATTCAAGTTATGAAGTTGTAAGTTGTACTTTAAAGTTTGAAGTTGTAAATTGTAACATGTAAGTTAAATGTTGTATTGTAACAATGATGCATGATGTACTATGATGGAAGGGCTTTAGGCCTATTTTAGGTTTATGATTACTTGTATGTTGAGAATTTGCATGAAAATGAACTTTGGTGATTGAAACAAGTTAAGGATTATAAAGTGAGCTATATTGTGTAATAAATATAAACTGAGTTGGGTTGTAAGTGTCCCAAGGCATTGTTGGTCCTTGTGTGTGCCACCCATTGGATTATTAGGTACATTTGAGGTACTAGTGATCATTTGCAAATTTGGGAATTTTAGGAAAAACAAAGGAAACTCTGGCGAATTTTCTGTAGAATTGGCAAATTTTAGACGAACTTCGGGAGAGCATATCTCCCTCCATAGAGGTCCGATAGGGACGTGCCATACGCCATTTTAAAGCTTGAGATGTCCCCTACATTGTGTCAAAATATTAGAATATTCTGGGTTGCACGAAGGCCTGTAGAAGCCAGTGAAAACTGACTGTCCAGAACCCTCTTATGCAGGGGCTGTTTCTGGCAGTTTTTGGAAAATTAATTCCTGCTTCGTTTCTCAGTCAAATTAAGCGTATGATATATCAAATTGAAGATTGAGGTGTCTAGTTTGTAGCATAAAAATTTGAGAGCAATTGTATGAGTTTATTCTCTGCAGTAATTCGTGGAGTGAGTGTAGTTTTGAGCTGTTTTGGGGTTGGTTGGCAGTTTTGCTTGTCCAACTTCAAACGGCGATAACCGGAGCAAACGAGCTCTGATTAAAGCGTGTGATAGCTTTTTAGAAATGTAATTAAGTAAGAAAAAAAGATAACTAGATAGAAAGATCTGGTTTGGTACGGTGTGTTCGCAGAAAAATAATTAGTGAACCATGTTCAAATAGGTAAAAGCGTAAAATTGCGAAATTGGCTAAGTGGGTTTATGGGGACCCCTTAGTGACTTATAATAAGTAAAGTAAGAAATAAAAATAGTTAAAATAAGTATTCCGCAAGAGTTTACAGTTATGGTCACAACTTTTAATTATTACGCTTTTTATTGTTTTAAATGCTCGCGTAATAATCGGAAAAAGTTTATTCGCATTTTTATAAATGAATTGCTGTGATTGTAACTGCGCTTAATATCATAATTAATGTTAACAATACCGGTGTACAACGGGCTGTTACATTCAACTTGTTTAATGTGTACTTTAAGAGACTTAATCATTTATAAACATTCTCCTACTATATACTTGAGTTGAGGGTAGTGAGACCCTAGTAAAAATGTTGCTCATATCCATAGAATTTGAGTGAAAGTGTAAGGTGTTCAAAAACCAAAATATTGGAGGTTGTAATGGTTTGTTCATACACCCTTGAAGCTTGATCAATAGTGGAATTAAAGGCTGGATGTAGGTCACGATAGTTGTGACTGAACCAGGATAAATGGAGTTTGCACTTTCTCTAAATCTTTATCTCTTTACATAAATATTGTTTGCATACTTGAGCATATTTAGATTTAGATTTATTGCTTATTATTTGCTTGCCTTATTTTCCATTCATCACACTTTACTTGTCTTAAATCATAGAATCTCAAGAAATTTGTTTTCAAAAAGGAAAGTGTGGCATTTTATGAAAATATTTTTAAAACTCAATTCACCCCCTCTTGAGTTTTGAGGCCACTTGTCCAATAGAACATTGCTATTATTTTGTATTTGAGAATTACATTTTTTGGTAAATGTATGTATAGTTCAATACAATTATGTATTTCTTTTATTTCAGTGTAAATATTCCCATAAAGCATAATGTTACAGATATTTATCATGAGACTCCCTCATTGTAGGTTTTTTTTATGGTTGATATTTGCCATGATAATTCTCCATTCAATAATGAAAAACTGAATACAACATTGATATTTATATCAGTTGTCTAAGATAGTCAAAGCGGAAAAGTAAAAAACTAACTAATCTATAGTAACAAACTAACTAAGCAATTGTTACAACAAAAAATAAAAAGAAGTTACATCTCCATATATTTTATATACACCTGCAAATAAGATAAATATCAACTGAGTTAATCTCATTAATAACACCTCCTCAAGTTAGGAGGTGGATGTCATGCATGCCCAACCTAGAAAGCAGATTGAGAAATGGCATAAGATGAAGAGGCTTCGTCAGGATACCTGTCAACTGAGATAAGGAGAAAATAGGTAGTAAGAGAATAAGACCTGATTGAATATTCTTATAAAAATTATGGCAGTCTATCTCTATATATTTACTTCGCTCGTGAAACGTAGGATTATAGGCAAGGTAGATAGCGGATAGATTATCACAAAACACTGAAATGGGTTGAGTGAGAGGCATGCAAAAATTAGTAAGAAGAAATGAAAACCACTAAAGGTCACAAGTCAGTTCAGCCAAGGCGCAGAATTCTACATCCAAAGAAGACCTTGACACCATCCGTTGTTTCTTCGATCTCTAGGAATTAAGTTAGGAACCAAGAAAGACACAGAACCCGGAGATTGAATGTTGAGAATCAAGATCATAACCCTAAACAAAATTAGCAAAACTAATAGGAGCAATAGTGTTCCAAGTGCGAAAGTATGAACAAGAGTGTTCTGAGTGCAAAAGAAGAGACCCTTTGAAGGATAACCCTTTATTACTAATTTATTTGTATTATTTTTTTGACAGACTAGGTAAATGGCCTATAATTCACATGCAATGAATAATGTTGATGTTCAAGGTCAAGAACCACCAATGCAAGATGCAGATACATGCACTACAAATAAGAGGCAAAAAACATCAAAGGAGTGGGATGACTTTCATGAACTGGAATCCTCAATGTCGGGCCAAAGGCTGTATGCAACCATTATAAATCCAAATTTGCACGTGGTGGACCAGGAGCAAGCACAAGCCATCTAAAGAGGCATTTAACAAGTTGCTTAAAAAAAAAATTGGCCCAATCTGGAAAGAAGGAAACCACTCAAACCACTCTTTCATTTCAGCCATCAGATTCTGCAGTGAACCCTTTCCTTTCACCTACAGGAAAGTGTTCCAATGAAAAAATGAGAGAAGCTATTGCTACTGCTATTATGGTTCATGAGAATACTTTTAGATTTGTTGAGGATACTGCCTAGAGGTGGGTGTTTCAGTGTGCAAATCCTGATTTTGAGAAAGTATCACATCATACAATAAAAAATGATTGCATTGGATTATATGAGGATGAAAAAAATCGCTAAAGGCTCAATTGATGGGTGTGAACAAGATTAGCATCACCACTGATATGTGGAAGTGTAACCACCAAATAGCTGAATACATGGTGATCATTGGCCATTTCATTGATTCAGAATGGAAATTACAAAAAAATACTTTTGAATTTTGTGAAAGTGCCACCTCCAAGGCGTCGAGTCGATGTTGCAGATGCAATTCTTAAATGTCTACAATTATGGGGAATCAAAAATAAGGTGTCTGTGGACAATGTTGCCTACAATGATGTATGCATAAGAACTATGAAAAGCACTTTGTCAAGAAATACTAAATTAGTTCTTGGTGGGGAATTATTTCATGTGCGTTGTTGTGCACATATATTGAATTTGTTAGTGCAACACGATCCTACTCAGATTAAAGACATCATTGAGAATGTTAGAGAAAGTGTCAAATATGTTAATCATTCTGACTCAAGATTAAAGACTTTCTGTGACATTGTTAAGCAAATGGGTATAAAACAAAGAAAGCTAGTGATTGATTGTCCCACTAGATGGAATTCTACCTATGAAATGTTGAATATTGCTTCAAGATTTAAAGATTTTTTTCGAGAATACAAGGAAAGAGACCGGCACTATAATTGTTTGTCGTCTACTGAAGAGTGGGAAAAGGTTGATAAGGTATGCCATTTATTAAAAGTTTTATCTTATGATACTAATATCATATCAGGTAGTGATTATCCTACAACAAACTTATATCTTCCGAAAGTTTATATGGTCAAAGTAGTGATTGATAAAGCAGCTGAAGATAGTTTTGATTTTATGAGAGGAATGACAAGGTTTATGAAAGATAAATTTGATAAATATTGGGGGGAATGCAATTTGTTGATGGCCATTGCTAATGTTTTGGACCCAAGGTGTAAATTAGAAATGGTGAGCCTTTGTTTCCCATTTATTTACAAATCAGAATTTGATGCCAAAGTTAACATAGAAAAGGTGCGTCAAGCTTTAGAAGACATTTACAATGATTATTTGCAAGAATCTTCCTCTAATATAGATGTCAGAACTAGGGTGGAAGGATCTTCCTCTTCTACTCCCTCAACTGAAGTTTCACACAATTTTGAATCTGGGTTTGCTCAACTCATGAGCATGAACATGCAAGGGAATCTACTCATTCAGTTAAGTCACAACTGAAATGTTATCTTGAAGAGAATGTTTATAAAAGTGAGGATAATTCTCATCTTTCATTTGATGCCTTGGAATGGTGGAAGAGCAATAACATGAAGTATAAGATTTTATCAAATATGGCAAAAGATATATTAGTAATACCAGTCTCTATAGTTGCATCTGAATCGACATTTAGTGCTGGAGGAAGAGCCATTTATGCTTATCGGGCAAGTTTGGCAGAAAATTCGGTTCAAGCATTAATTTGCGTGCAGATTGATTACATAATAAGTATGTCATAAAGAAAAAACAGAAGGTATTAATTTACTTAATTTAAATTTTTTATATCTTATGATATTATAATTGAGTGTCAAAATAATCTGACTTTTTTTTGTTTTTTATGTATGAGGAGGCAACATCGCAAAATATTAAAGTGTTGATATGAGTACATTAAATTGTTTACGTAGAATTTGTAGTATTTTGTTCTTTTGGATATGCAGAATTTGGTATTACTTTAGTATTAAATCTTTGTAGCATAAGAGTAAAATTTTTTCTGCGAAAATTTAAATTATACATATACTTTCTACTAAAATAATATACATACACTTTCTAGTACACACACATATATATATTATAGGGGAGAGAGGAATTTATTTATTTTTTTATATACAAAATCTAATTACCTAGTTGAGGTGAGTCGATCCCGTCGTCCTGAGTTGGCCCATCGGGCATCCTCATAAGTTTCAACTCTTTGAGCTGATTATGAGACAAATCCCGAGTCGGGACTTAGTCACAATTAAAGCTCTTCGTCCTCTCCCAAAAAATATATTTGATGAAAATCGAACCTAGAATTTCTCCACACTTTAATCAATTGTGTTGCCAACTAAGTTATATTTTTTATTGGATAAAAGAATTTATTTAAATGGTATTAAGAACGGATGCACAAAGAATGGCAAAAAAATTAATTTAATGTTTTTAATAAAATAATTACGTATTTATTACAATTTTGAAAATAATTACGGATCTATTACACAATGTGACACCCCTTTTGGGCGTCACATGTGACGCCCCATTGGGGAAGACGCCCCAATGAGGCGTCACTCATCATGTGTTGACACGTGCCATTTTTTTTTTCAGAAAAAATTTAATTTAATCATAAAACTTTTGAAGGCCATAACTTTTGACTCAAGTATCCAAATCAGGTAGTTCTTTTTTTGATTCCACATAACTTTACGAGATCTACGCAATGACATCTCATTTCATATAATTTATTTCTCACAATTTTTTTTTTAATTTGCAAGAATGGTATTATAAGAGCGGTTAAACCCAGAAGCCTCTGAGTTCTGGATTTGTGATTTAATATAAAAAAATAAAGAAAATTTTGATTTGTGATTTAAATTTTTTTTATAATAACAAAAATTTGGTTTGTGATTTAAATTAAAATTAAAATTAAAAATTATTATTAAAAAGGAAAACAAAATAAAGATTTGGTTTATGATTTAAACTAAAAAATCAATTTGAAAAATCTGTAGAAATAAAGAAAATAATTAAATAAATATTCTAAATCTCTAAAGAAGAAATTAATGATTAATGCTATAAGCTTATGAGCTATTATTCGGGGTCTGAAATTAATGATGACTTATGAATGTTTTTCAAAAATAAAATTACCTAAATTAGGCGTGATTGCCTCTTGATTGAAACCCAATTTAGATGTGATTGGTGACGTGTCAGGTGTTGACACGCGTTGACACGTGTCACATTTTTAAACTTAGAAGCCTCTGATTTATGCGTTTGTGATTTAATATAAAAATGAATCAAGATTTGATGTGTGATTTAAATTAAAAAAATAAATTTTTTATTTTTATTACAAAAAAAATTGATTTGTGATTTAAATTAAAAGTAACAATTATTATTAAATAGGAAAACAAAATAAAGATTTGATTTGTGATTTAAAATCAAAAATCAATTTGAAAAATCTGTATTAATAAAAAAATAATTAAATAAATATTCTAAATCTCTAAGGAAAAAGGATTACCTGATTTAAATTTAAATAATGTTTGTGAGAAATAAAATATAGGGTTCGCTTTTTCTGCAGCTACTGCAGCTAAGTTATCTGCAGTAAGTCAATACGACGTCGGTTTGGGACGGAAATCATAGTATTTTTGTAATTTTAATTTATTTTAGGGTTATAATAGTCTTTATATTTATAATTTTTTATGATTTTAATACCAAAACGACGTCGTTTTGGAAATAAATGCAGATAACTTCTTTGCATTAATTGCGGAAACATTTTTCCCTAAAATATATCAAATGAGATGTCATTGCGTAGATCTCAAAAAGTTATGTGGAATCAAAAAAAGAATTACCTGATTTGGATACCCGAGTCAAAAGTTATGGGCTTCAAAATTTTTATGATTAAATTATTTTTTTTTTTGAAAAGAAAATGACACGTGTCAATATCGGATGAAAGACATCCTTTTAAGGTGAGACGCCTCAATGGGGCGTCACATTGTGCAATAGAACTATAATTATTCTCAAAACTGTAATAAATGCGTAATTATTTTATTAAAAAACATTAAATTAATTTTTTTACCCAAAAAAAATCAGTGAGCCATGGGCCCATGACCATGAGCCTCGATCTCAGCAACTATGAACATCTCTCTTTGGGCCTAAATACATGGGCCTATTAATTCAAAAAATATGAGTCTTAAAAGGCCACATTACACAGGATAGCTGGACTGCAAAAATGTTAGTCACAATAGCCATGCCATTAAATTAAAAAGGGAAAGAGTGAGAAAGAAAAACTCCATTTTACAGCTCACACTTTCTCTGTGCAGCACACAGATTTAATACATAATAGGCACAATATCACGAGTAAAAGTGTAAAACAACAAATTCTGCGTTACATTACAATGCTTTGTGGGGTTTTATTAAATCTTTATTCATTTATTTTTAATCTTTGTTAAGTGGTTTTACCGGGAGAAAAGAAAAGAAAAGAAAAGAAAAGAAAAAAGAAATAAAATAAAAGGGGAAGAAGGGTGGGGAGAGTGAGTGCGAGGCCCGCTCACAATTTTGGCATCAAATTTTGAAAACCACCTACACTTTCACTCACTAGCGCGCTTCTCCTCCAAACTTCAATTTCATTTCGCGATTCACCTTTCTCTCTCTTCTAAACCCCAATCACAATCACTTGATTCGATTCCTTCCAATTCTAGGGTTTCTTTACCTACTAGGGTTCCCAATTCATTTCTTCATTTCATTTTCTTTCCCCCAAACATGGCTACAGAAACCCTAGAAGATAACAAGCCTCCCTTCCAAGACAAAGACGACGACCATGCACCTCCCAAACCCCTACAGAACAAGCAAGCAAACGAAGCTGCAGAAGAACCCAAACCAGAAGAAGAAGGAGAAGCGGAGCGAGATACGGTAATTTCTCAGAAAGATGCTCCCTCGGAAGTTGCGAAATCCGAGGATAAGAATGTCGACGAGGAGGAAACAGGAGCAGGCAGTGAGGTAGAAGCGGAAGCGGAAGAGAAGGGAGAGGCCAACGAACACGACGACGCCGAGAAAGACGACGAGGAAGAGGTGGAGAAAGACGAGGAGGAGGAAGAAGAGAAGGACGAAGAGGAAGATGAGAAGGAAGAAGCTGAAGAGAGTGAGAAAACCACTAAGGCAAAGGGGCGTCGAAAGAAGAAAGAAAAGGGAAGTAAGAAAGAAGCAGCATCAGAGAAAAAAGGTGGAAAGGATCCAGTTACGCCGGTGAGTGAGAGGCCAACGAGGGAGAGGAAAACGGTGGAGCGTTACTCAATACCCTCGCCTGCTAAGTCTAGTAGGTCCTCAGCGAGTAAAGGTTTGACAATTGAAAAGGTATATCCTTTTATTTTTTTATTTTTTTATTTTTTTTTGAGTTATTCTCTTGTTTGGGTGTGTTTTTGAGGACTGAAGCGAAGTGTCTGTGTTTTTGTTTCCAGGGACGTGGTACGCAGCTTAAGGATATCCCAAACGGTGCGTTTAGTTGCATTACTTAATTACTCTATCATTTTCACCCTGTTGTTGTTTTGGTTGTTGTAGCCTGGCTTATGATTTGTGGGATCGCTTGTGTTTTTCTGGTGATGCATTCTACCTGCTCTGGATTTCCTTGTTTACATTGATGTCTTGAATATTTGTAATTGAAAACCTGAATTTTACTTGCTAATAACTTATAGATCAAGTAAATGTGAGTTTTTATTTGAGGCATCCCATGATTAGTTTAGGAGTTTGAGCATTTGCATGTTAAAGTGCTGTCGTTGATTACTTCTAGTTGTTTGTATTTCTCTCTCTGCTCCTTCCCTTTCCAATATGTTTAAATTCCATGTTGTCTGATTTCATTCCAGAAGCTGGTCTTGACTCTTGATTGTGGCAGAGAGAATATAAATCAATTGAATAATTTCCTGAAAGAAGCTTTCAAGATTGTTATTAGTTTCCTAGTTTTTTCTTGCTTTCCAACATATAGCATCCTTTGGTTGAAATCTCTTACTTGTTGTTTGTGTATTTTTTTCTTTTTTTTTTGTTAGTATTTGTTCTGTAAGTTGTAGATTTTAATCGTCTCTGTTGTTATTAAATTTGCTTCATTGGTTGTCATACTGGTTAGGTGGTTGAAACTTAACACTATGAGTTGGATCTATCATTTAGCATGCAATATTGGTTTGATATTGGTGGCCGTAAAATATTATCTTTGCTGATTTCCAAATTGATAGTTTACTTTTATTTGTCTGTTTTATAGATCAATGTTGTCCAATCAAGTTATTTATGTATAAACTGTTTCAGTGGCTTTCAAGTTGTCAAAGAGAAAACCAGATGAAAACCTGCATATGCTTCATAGCTTACTGTTTGGGAAGAAAACAAAGGTGACACACCAATTTAGTTCCTTAGATTGTTTTTGATGACTTCTTGTTCATGGTTTTGTTTTTGTCACTTAAGGGTGCGTGAACCCTCTAACACCATGGTTGTTCTCGAGTGGTGTGCAGGCACACAATTTAAAGAGAAATATAGGGCAGTTTTCTGGTTATGTGTGGACTGAAAATGAGGTACTGTTGTGTTAGTTACTGTACTATGCTTGCCTTCTTTTCTTAACTGTGCAGATGAATCTTCATGGGTTTTTGTCCATGTTAAAAAATTGAGTCTCTGCGGCTGTAATTAACGTGCAGTTAAAAATTCATGACTTTATATAATCTTGCAGGAAAAACAGAGGGCCAAGGTAAAGGAGAGGATTGACAAATGTGTGAAAGAAAAGTTGATGGACTTCTGTGATATTCTTAATATTCCAATAAACAAAACCAACGTGAAGAAGGTAGGTATTGATATAATTTTTTTCCATTTTGGTAGGGAATTTGAGTGATTTTTTACAATAAATTATTTAATGATACATGCTTTCAGGAGGAACTGTCTGCAAAGTTGTTGGAGTTTTTGGAGTCCCCTCATGCTACAACTGATGTTCTGCTTGCTGATAAAGAGCAGGTTTGTTATTTCTTGATTAATTTTAGATGGGTTAGGATCAATTGACACTTTTTTGAGTTGTAACAAAAATAATCTACATTGTTGAATAACATTTCATTTGTTGAAATTAAAGGCACCCCTCACCCAGATCATTCTTTGAAATTGTTTTAGTCCAACCAAGTATTCTAAAACTAGCAAATTATATACATTGCAAACATAAAAGAAAATCAACCAAATGATGGAATACTTCTTGGTGTTCAATCCTTGTATTTGACATGCAAGGTTGGTATGACAACCATAATTTAACAGTTGATCAGAGAAAATTACTTTATATGAAGTAATTATTTGAGTTGTATTAGATTCAATGGATCCTGGCCCATTGTATAAATATGCTGTTTTTTCCCTTTATACATGTATATATATTCATCTTAGCGTGGTTCATTTTTGAAGCTTTTTCTATGTTAACAGAAAGGTAAAAAGCGAACCAGAAAGGCAACCCCTAGTAAATCTCCTGGGGAAGCATCTATGGAAACACCTGCCAAGGTATTTTTGTCATTACTATATTCTGACTTCTTTTGGGCTTGCTGTGTATCTGTTATGCACAAAACTTTGATGGCCAATCTCTTGGATTAAAACTGGAATATGAATGTTTCATTCAAGGGTATGAAATCGTAATTCAAATTGTGAAATGCCAAGATAATTTTTGAATGAAAATCATAAATCATGTCATATCATTAAATGGTATGAAATCTCATCCATTTATACATGCATTGCGCGACTCAGAGATCGTTGGCTTGCTTAATCATATCAAATCATTTGATTCGTATCACAGTTAATTCTAGCAAATATGGTTTCAATCTTCAAGTTGCATGTGGTGATCTGTTTTTGGTGATGATTTTTCTTCTTTCTAATCTTCACTTGTTTGAATATTTGTTCTATAGTTTGACTTTGGTAACGGTGTATTATGGTAATTTTCATTGTTAATTGTGATTGTGGAGGTGAACATTGAATAGATGTGTCATCCCATGATAATTATTTCACAATATCTTACCTTATTAGCTGGTTATGTTTAGTGTTGGTAGTTTGTTTCTAAAGTTGTGGATGCTATTCAGTGTTAAGATATTACATCTATTCTGCCATTGGTTCATACCGACCTGTAACATGGGTTTCACCTTTTCCAGTTAGCAAAAAATTCTTTGTAAAGCGGTAACAATTAGAAGTTTCAGTAATGCTTGTTTAAATCTAATAATTGAGTCCATTACTTGTAATATACTGTTTAATTTTCCTAGCAAAAGTAAAAATGTTCCTTTCGATTTTTAAAGCAGTTGGAAATTCAAATTATGAATTTCATGGATTGTTGAACATTGTGCTTGTAGTTCAGTAACATTAGTTTATTCTATTTATTAGGGAGGTGAAATTTTTGTTTAAGTTTCATACTTAAAGGTGAAGCTGTTGTTAATTGCTGGTTGCATTTGTTAAAGAGTATCTCTTTATAGATACTCTAGTTCCCGGTGCTTTGTGTCTGCAGTTTGCTTCGGCTGCTAGAATTTGGAATTTAGTGAATCAAGCATTGATTATTGTCATTTGGTGGTTGTTAGAGTTGTTCTTATAGTGCTGACTCCAATTTTGCATTTAGATAAATGAGTCTTGATCTCTTGTTAAGCTGTTGTATACGGTCAGTTGTGAAAGCAAAGACACCTTCTAAGCTTTTCATCTGGATATGTATATTCTTTTGCTGGATTGAATTCAATTACAACCATGTTTATTACAGTGCATTATTAGTTACTGTTTTTTGTTCAAATTCTTCCTTTTATTTTATGTGGAAGGTTTGGGTGGTAAATTTGCTTATTCTACAATGCTTCAAATGTTTTTATTCTTTTTAATTGCTTTCATATATTTTGTCTTGCTTTAGAAGCAAAAGCAAACTTCACAATCTGGGAAAAAGCGAAAGCAGTCTTCTGATGTTGAGGAGGATGATAAAGCTGAACTTTCGGATGCAAAAGATGAGTCTCAGGAAGATGAAGATGTTGCGGTGCCAAAATATGTAAGTGATGATGAGGAAAGTAAATCAGAGGAAGAGGAGGATAAATCAAAGGCTCACAAGCATACTTCCAAAAAGATTGTGAAGGAGGGCTCAGTGGCCAAAGCTGGAGATGGAACCACATCTGTCAAGAAGACCTCTGCAAAAGCTACCAAGAGCAGTGAAAAAACTCCTAAAAAATCAAGTTCAAAAAAGATTGTTACTGACCATGACAGTGCTTCTGCCTCCGTTTCTAAGTCAAAGCAAACTGCATCCAAGAAACAGAAAACTGTCAGAGAAAAGGAGAACACTAAGGGAAAGACTGCAAGCAAAAAACAAACAGACAAGTCCTCAAAGGCTTTGGTTAAGGATCAAGGTGCTTTGACTGCACTCCCCCTCTTTATTTGTGACGATATCCTGTGTAGTACTTAATCTAGTGTTATTTGTAATAGTCTGCTGGTTGCTCAAAAGTTATCTTTTTGAACTTTTGCTTGACTAATGTTATCAAACTGTCCCGTAAAATCTTTCCCTCTAATAATATGTTGTTGCATTTGAACAGGTTGCATAAAAAACTTTTATTATTTTATTAAGTATGCTCGTGTCCCCTTATTTTTTTTTATCCTTATCCATTCCATTCTCATGCCAATGGTAGGGAAAGGTAAAAGTAGTAAGAAGGCCAAGCCAGAACCTAGTAGGGAGGACATGCATGCAGTAGTTGTTGATATTCTGAAGGAAGTAGATTTCAATACTGTAAGTAATGCTTTTATGTAGCAATTCATGTTTAGCCTGAATGTTTGGAGTTTTCTAATTTTACTTGTTTAATATTTTGTGCTTCCCTTGATGCAGGCAACTTTGTCTGATATCCTCAGGCAACTTGGTATGGCCTTTTTCTTGACAAAATTCTCTCCCTGAAAAAGAAGGCAAATGGTTTCTTGAACTTAGCTATTTTGTAATGAATGTTGACAGGTACTCACTTTGGTGTGGATTTAATGCATAGAAAAGCTGAGGTGAAGGATATAATTACAGATGTAATTAATAACATGTCTGATGAGGAAGGAGAGGAAGCTGAGAATGATGGTGATGGCGATGCAGATAAAGATGAAGATGATGGGGATGGTGATGATGATGCGTGATTTTTATTGGGCAAATAATTTTCGATCTGTGCAGAAGTTAGAGGCATGTGGGTCGTTCAGTAGTTAGATTTTGTCTTAGTGATTCTCCTGTCAGCTGTCTCCGGATTAAGCTATGGTAGATATTTGGTTGTGTCCTTTTTCGTGATAGATGCTCTAAACTAGGTTTGTACTTTGTACCATATTAGATTTAACCCGCTCCTCTGTATTACTGATGTGACCTTTTATTTCCCATTGAATAGTTTGTTTATTTACCTGCCTGTAAACACTATTGCCTTCTAATTTAGATCAATGTTCTTTCTTTTATTTGTTAGAACTAGATTGTGGATCTATGAAAATTGAGATAATTGTTTTCTTGCTGATAGGCGTTTGGCCGATGTATTTATAATGATTCACATTTTGGCTTGTGAACTGGGGATTCAAATCTAGTAGTTTTTTTTTTTTTTTGTTACATCAAATGTTAAGAACCTTGGGATATATCACTCCAAAAGCTAGTTCAAAGGGTGAATGTCTAAGGTTTTATAAAGGCCACATTAGTTGTCCACACAATTAATATGGGATTATATATCTCAACACGTCTTCTCACGCAAGAGTCCTTTAAGCTAGAAGCGTGAAAATTGTATTGGTTTACTTTTTGTGCTTTTTTATTTATTTTAATTTCACTTTAAAGCGGGGGACGTTGAGGATCGAATTTGTGACTTTATAGTCACTCAAGCTCTGATACCATGTTAAGAATCTTGTGATACACTATTTCAAAAACTAACTCAAAGGGTGAGAGTGCCCAATGCCTTATAAAAGCCATATTAGTTGTTCACACAATTAATGTGAGACTATATATCTCAACATCAAATCTAATAGTTTAAGTAGAGGAAACAGGAGAAGTGGGTCTATTTGATTTCTGTTCTACAAAACAGTTATTTTATTTTAAAAACAAAAATTAAAAAAATTGTTTGGTAGGAGTTTTTTGTATTAATTGTTCTAAAATCCTCTGTTCTTTAGTTTTTAAAATAAAAAATAAAGAACAACTTTTACCTGTTTTTGTTCTCTTTCATTAGTTTACTCTTAAAACATGTATAGACATGGGGAACATCTTATTAATGACAATCTGGTAATTATAATCAAGCGTTTTTTTTTTTTTCTTTTCATCTTTTACAAAACAGCTTTTGTAAGTTATTCTATAAAATAGTTTTAAAAATAAAAAATTGAGAATACAATCAAACAGATTTGATTTTCATTTTTGTTCTGAAGGTTTCGTTGTTAGACTTCCGAATCCTTGGTCCTGCGTTCTAATTGCTTTGTTATTAAATTGATTAAATATTAGTGTTTGTCCTTGACGTATGCATGTGTAATCAATTTCGTCTTTTCATGAATAATTTTATCGATTTATCCTTCAAAGTTTAAATCTTGAACAAATTGAGTTTCGTTCTTCCATTTACTTCAGTTTAACTTTGTTAATAGAAAATGGAGAGTTTCAGGTTGTGATTGCAATCTTTTGATGTTTTTTTTAGGGAAAAATGCCTATCTTTTAAATGACACAATTTGAGTCATTTCACTCTCACAAAGAAGTGGGACTCACATCTTTATTTTATTTTATTTTTGTCTATTCTCCCTCCCATGATTTATCTCTTTCTCTCACTTAAAATGACATAATTTACAATTTATATCCTTTAAAATGACACACACTCTGCCCCTTTTTTTTATACCAAAAGTGATTTTCATCATGTATCTATCAATCTATTAAATAACTCCACTTTAAAAAAGTGCAAGAATGTGAATGATTTCAATCTCCGTCTTGATCTTCCTTTAGGACAATAAACATCCTCCATGTAAATTTTTGTAAAATTAATTACTTTTACAAAAAAGATAGATTATTTTACCTACCATTTTTTCTGCTTACTTTTGTCTATCACGATAAAATACCATTAGATCAAAATCTTAATTATCATTTACTTTTCTCTCTCCTCTTTAAATTCTGCTATAATGGAGAGTGGTAGACAAAGATAGACAAAAAATAGTAGGTAGAATAACCTATCCCTTTACAAAATCTGATCAAGAATAATATTTTGTAGCTGAAACAAGCTACAAAATTACAATATAATATTGCTTGATAACCTTTGTATTATCTTATTAAAATAATCGTTTGTGAGATAGGGTTCCCGAATTGAAAATTAAGCCAATAATAGATTTAGATCTAATAAAGTGATCACAAATGACAGGGGAAAAAACAAAAAGTGATCACAAATGACGGGGAAAAAACAAAAGTGATCACAAGAAATCGACAAATTGGTTTAAATGTCTAAGACTAATTTTTCAATCGAATTTGTAGGCTAAAGAAAGGATATGTTAAGCCTAGCAACGCTGATAGATGGATAGTGATGGGCACCGATCGAATGGATATAAACTCTGCTTATGTGTTTGCAGTGAGCAATGTTTGATTAAAGTTGGATATCCATGTACACCATGTAAATGTGCAATGTACTGCTATATTAATGCACAATTTTCTATGGTTAATTTTGGTAACTAGATAGAAGTATGTTGACACAATTTTTTAAAAGATATCATTTGAACACAGAATTAATTTTTATTTAAATGTTGGCTTGATCCTAATTAAAAGGAATCTTTAATATATTTTGAACTCTTACACTAAAAACAAAGTTCATTTTCATAGAACTCGGTTTCTCTGAGCCACATTTTGTAATTTCGTGGATGTTGTCACCTACGATTGATGTGCGGACATATAATATTGTAATTTAATAGACACAAAGGTTTTCCACGAAAGAAACAAAAAATAATAAACAAAGGAAAATGCTTAGAAAAATATTGAAGAAGACAAATAATAAAAAATAATGATGCCCAGTTTTTGTGCTTACCTTATGGAGTGGCAAGTTGAGAGTGGAAGTGAGAGAGTTGACTCAATGGCACATCGAAACCTTCAACCAAATTGATATCTCTTAAGGCTGTCCCAGATGGAGTTTGGGCAGGGGTACCCTAAAAGTATGCGACAGGGCTTGGAAGGTTAAAAGGGAAGAAACCTTCAACTTTAGTTCAGCCGAATAGAGAAAGAGGGAAAACTAACAACGAAGTAGTGAAGCTGAGGTGAGACCAATGGCTCTGCGTACTGCGCTTCAAGTCTTCAACAATCCCAATTAGTCAGGCTGAATATTAGTGGGCCCAATCCCAATTTTCAATTGTAATATCTTATAGACAAGTTGGGCTATTAGTGGGCCGAATCTCCTCTGCTTCTTCTTCAATTTGGTCATTGACCTTTGCTCAGGTTAGTTCCCTCTCCTTTGCTCTCTTCTTTCGGTACTTCACTACTTTGCTTCAAAAAAAAAAATAAAAAAAAATTCAACAAGTTTGACGAAAATTCAAAATATTTACAGCGAAAATTCAAAATAAAACACATTTACAGCGAAAATTTTGACCAAAAATATTTACGTAAAAGATTTTGACGAAAATATTTCAGAAATTTTTTTGATGGAAAATATTTCTATAAAAAATTCCGACGGAAATTTTTTTTGTCAAAGTTCTTTGCGGAATCTAAATTCCCTCCAATCATTTCCCTCAAATTTTTTGACGAAAAATATTTTTATAAAACATTTTGACGAAAAACATTTTTGTCAAAATTTTTTATCGAAATATTGTTCGTCATAAAATTTTTACGAAAATTTCCATTAGAAATGTGTTCCATTGAAATTTTTGATGAAAATATTTTTTATCAAAAAATTTGACGGAAATATTTTTCGTCGAAAATTTTCGATAGAGATGCGTTTCGTTAAAAATTTCGACGAAACTTTTCTTGTTAAAAAGTTTAACAAAAATGTTTTCGTTGAAAACTTTCGACGGAATTTGAATTCCATAAAGAATTTTGATGAAATTTTTTTCCGTCAAAAGTTTTCGAAGGAAATGTGTTTCGTGAGAAATTTTGATAGAAATATTTTTTCGTCAAAAATTTCGATGAATATGTTTTTTTGTGAAATATTTTGAGGGAAATGTTTTGACGAAATTTATATTCCGTAAAAAAATTTGACAAAAAAAATTTTCCGTCAAATTTTTTTACAGATATGTTTTTAGTCACAAATTTTGATGAAAATATTTTTCGTCAAACTATTTTGCGGAAAATTTTGATGGAAATGTTTTCCGTAAAAAACAACGTGAACAATTTCTATATGAATCATTTCGTCCTGAGAGTTTCAAAACAATGAAGATTATTGCAAGAAATAGTTAGTCAACTACCTATAACCGGGAGAAACAAACGATTACTTATAAAAATAGCACAATCCATCAAAAATTGATTTTGAATTTGTTAAAAAATCGGTCTTGAACTTGATAACCGGTTTATGGTTCATAACCGGTTTTGATTAAAATCGATTTTGAATTAAAACCGGTTATAAACCACAAACCGGTTTTAAACCAGTTTGGACAAATTAAAAATCGATTTTTTTTTAAAAAAAAGTGGCTCGATTTAAAATCTAAACCGTTTAAAATTAGTTTGGTTTGATTTTTGACAATAATCAAACCGAACCGCTCGATACACTCTCATGCGATTTCAGTATCGTCTACTCTTAATTAAGGTCTAAACCAATCCTCGGGGTTAATCTTATGTTCGAATGTTCCGCAGTTCTGCATAATGCACCCTATTGTCTCGGGATTATTCCATAAAATGTAATCTTTTATTAGACACTTGCTTCAAACTACAAAGTCCATGCCGTGTTAATATCAACAAAGTTATATTCATTCATATACTTCATCATGTACTACTTAAAATTACTGATTAATACGCTTCAACTAACAACATAGGATATGGCTTTTATATTTATTTCTTGCTTTTGACGCACCTGATCAGCGATGGCAATCAAGCTGGAAAGCAAAACAAATATTTTGCGTGTATGAAACAACATTTTAATAGAGAAGGAAAATATTTTTCTCATGTTGCATAAGATAATTTGTCTCGTGTAACACACAAAAAAGTGAATGAGACCCACTAAAAAAAGAGAGAAAGAAAAAAGTGAGTCTTCACCATTTTTATGTGTGTTGCATGAGACAATTTGTCTCGTCAACATGAGAAAAATATATCCCAATAAAGAAAATGCTAAAAGGGTACAAAAATAAATAAATTAAATAAAAAGCACGCTTTAAGGGGACAACTAACTCTCCCGAGACTATTTTTTTCAATCTAAGACTCAAACTCGAGACTATTTTTTTTTCCAGAGATACAACACGAGAACTTTCCGTAACGTTACCCATCTTAATACTACTATTATCCAAACACGTTTAACTGTGATATGAATGCAATAGATTGAGAGCATTAATTGGGGGTTATCCAAACAAAAGTATCATTTTCTGAAGTGATATTGAATGACATTACCGAACCCAGTTAATTATAGTAGTTGTATTACAGCACATAATTTCATTCCGTCCACATTTATTTGTAGAAAAAGAGACACTTTGGATTCACAGCAATCACTATATTTGAGTAAGCAAGTGTAGGACGCCAACTCCATCATATTTCGTTTATCCTACGCCGGCCTATGTGGCTGGTAATGTTTGATTGCCAAATAGCTGTGTATGAACGCATTAAATTGAACGCATAAACTATGAAAATAGCCATAAAAATATGTCCCTATCAAGTTGCTACATTTTGTTAATTATAGGTAATGGTAGCTTAAACTTTTATCTAAGCTCTTCTTATATAACTTGTCTAACCCTACACCAAATGGGTATACAAATATCAGACCCTTGATCATTTTTTATCTTGCCACAACATTTCATGCGCTAAAGATTGGCACAAAAACTAGGTGAAGTTTTGCACCTTGTTTTTTCAATTACAGCGCTTTGCCATGCATGTTTTGTTTTAACTTGTTCATATTGTCAATATGAAACGTTGCATTGGCATGCTTTTAAATCGTTTATGGATATTAATCTCACACTCTTTATATTATTGTTCTTCAAAGGTTCTTACGTGATGGCAAATGAGGAAATCTCTAACATTGAACTCATAGTAAGGCAAGGAGAACCAACTCGAGTTCTGCCTGCAGAGGAAACAGAAAAGGGACTCTATTTCCTTTCAAACCTTGACCAGAATATTGCAGTTCCAGTTCGCACAGTTTATTGCTTTAAATCCACTTCAAGAGGAAATGAGGATGCTGCACAAGTTATCAAGGATGCATTGTCAAAGATTCTTGTTCCTTATTACCCTATGGCAGGAAGGTTGACTATCAGCTCAGAAGGGAAGTTGATCGTGGATTACACAGGGGAGGGTGCAGTGTTTGTTGAGGCTGAAGCAAATTGTAACATAGAAGACATAGGGGACTTAACAAAGCCAGACCCTGAGACTCTTGGAAAATTGGTTTATAACATCCCTGGTGCTCAGAACATACTTGACATGCCTCTTATTGCAGTTCAGGTTTGACATATATACTTTGTCACTTTAACAAATATCATGAACGTTTCCTAGAATATATATATTATGTGTTATGTGTAAGTCTTTAGTTGTGAGCATTAATTTTTTGTTTTGTCATATAAATTGTGATCACCCCAAAGTTTATAAAAGTTTTTAGTTACGAGTATTATTTATACTTTTTTGGTCTTATACACTTGAAATTTCACCTTCCTCCACCAACCAATAAGTAATGTATGTATTGTTGTTCTTTTCCATGGAAAAGTATGATTACATCTAAGAGGCTAAATGATGTTCCAGGTGACAAAGTTCAAATGTGGAGGATTCACTTTGGGGCTAAACATGAACCATTGTATGAAAGATGGACTATGTGCCATGGAATTTGTGAATGCATGGAGTGAGACATCCCGGGGTTTGGACTTAAAGATTCCACCATTTCTTGATCGAACCATACTCAAAGCACGTAACCCTCCCAAGATAGAGTTCCAACACAATGAATTTGTTGAGATTGAAGATGTATCAGGTACTAAAAAACTTTATGAAGAAGAAAAGATGCTCTACAGATCCTTCTGTTTTGATCCTAAGAAGCTTGAGCTGCTAAGGAAAAAGGCCACTGAAGATGGGGTTTTGGAAAAGTGTTCAACTTTTGAAGCCCTCTCAGCTTTTGTATGGAGAGCTAGAACAGCAGCATTAAGGATGCATCCTGATCAAAAAACAAAGCTACTCTTTGCAGTTGATGGAAGGTCTAGATTTGTGCCTCCAATACCTGAGGGTTACTTTGGCAATGCTATTTTGCTAACAAATTCACTATGTAAGGCAAGTGAGTTATTGAAGAATCCTCTGTCATTTGCAGTGGGATTGATTCACAAGGCAATTGAAATGGTCACAGATAGTTATATGAGATCTGCTATTGACTATTTTGAAGTCACAAGAGCTAGACCTTCCCTAACAGCTACCCTTTTGATCACAACTTGGACTAAGTTATCTTTCCATACTACAGATTTTGGTTGGGGAGAACCTTTGTGTTGTGGCCCTGTGACCTTGCCTGAGAAAGAGGTCATTTTGTTCTTATCACATGGTCAAGACAGGAAAAACATAAATGTGCTCCTGGGTTTGCCTGCTTCTGCCATGGAAATTTTTGAAGCATTGATGATGAAGGTATGAAAATGTAGCATGGGTTGGCACTGCAAGAATGTTAATTGGCAATATTGGTCGGGTGAAAAAGACATCCTTTATAAATAAATCTTACTATGCCATTGGAGTCTACATATATTGGTGATAAAGACATTTAAAATAATTCCGTGTGTCATGGAAAGCTATGTGAAGCGGTATTTCCCATACTAGTGTTTAGGCTTGGTTTTCTTTATATTATATTCTTAGCTACTGATTTAATGTTTCAACCCGAAAAGAAAAGAAAAAACAAACTTTTCAGGCATTATTGAAAGAAAAATGAATGAATTAGTAAGTTCTGAAACATTATCAATACAATAATTCGCCTATGCTCCACTCGTCTACTTTCTTTTAATGCCATGGTTCCACTATCATATATATGTCAGTTGTTAGGAAGGTAAATGCACTAACCACTCGGTACATTTTTTTATGATTATTTCTATTTCTATCTTTTTTTTTTTTACATAGAAAAAAAAAGTAACATATTTACACTATCTTTATTTTTATGATTATTTTCTTTTATATCTTTTTTTTTCTTTCTTATTTTGGCAAGGGAGTATCTACGCCAGTTGTACCAAACATATGTTCGGGAATAAGAGAAATCATACTTTTATATCATTATAATATGATGTAATATTTTGTGAAAGGAAACGATATTCGCAGATATTAGCATATCAGTATAATAGGAAGGATGGCTTTGGTAACACAGACTTGGGGTAAGGATGTTGGGCTTCCTTCTTCAATGCTAAGCCCAAGCCCATTTGAGGAGTTTCCTAAAAACCTTAACCCTAATTTCCACCTCCTCTATATATACTCATTAGTTGTGGGTGGAGGCTAGGTCATATGAGAGAATTTTATTTGACAAATATTTGAGAGAAAATTGTTTGAGCAAAGCTTTATGCTTTGCATTTGAGAGATCTCTAGAGAGAGTTTGAGTGAAACATCTCTAGGGTAGTTTGATTATCACTATTGTTGGAGAGGTTGAGTTAACCACCACATTGGTGCATTCTGATTATTTGTAACCATTATTTTCATAGTGAATTTTTGATCTGGACTAGGTCCCGTGGGTTTTTACTTCTTCATTGAAGAAGGTTTTCCCACGTTAAAACTGGTTGTGTTCTTCTTCTCTCTCTCCCGTGTTTACGTTTTGATTTTTCCGCTACGCTGTCCGACCTGGTGGAATCCAGGCAAGGTATTGCTGAGATCTGAGATCGAGGATCTCATTGATTGACTTCCGCATAAAGGCCCATGAGCCGATCTGAGTTTTCCCAACAGTGGTATCAGAGCCCGAGTTCGACGGGTTCTGAGGGAGACGAGGTGGAGACCAGTGGCATAACCAATGATGGAGACATGTTCAAGTTGACCGCATACAATTTCACATATTGGAGACCGATGATGGAAGATCATCTCTACTGCAAAGATCTACATGAGCCCATTATCCTTAATGAGAGACCGGCAGGCAAAACTGATAAGGAGTGGGAGATCCTGAGTCGGAAGGCGGTAGCCACGATCAGGAAATATATTGATAAAATCCTCTTTGAGCACGTGTCCGAGTTCACGAACGCGTATGAGTTGTGGACGAAGCTGGAGTCCATGATTCAGAAGAAGACTCCCAGGAATAAAGCATACCTGGTTCGCCGACTTGTGAAGCTTAAATACAAGGACGACATGAGCATGATTGAACACCTCAACACCTATAAAGGTATTGTGAATCAGCTGTCAAAAGCAGAGATGAAAATTGATGATGAGATGCAGGCTTTGCTGCTGTTGAGCTCGCTGCCAGAAAGTTGGGATACTCTGGTGGTGACTTTGAGTATTTCAGCTCCAGAAGGAAAGTTGAAGATGGATGTCGTGACAGACAGCCTCCTGAGCGAAGAAGTCAGGAGAAGAGAACGAGGTGTTTCAAGCACGTCTGAGGCTAACATTGTTGAGAACAAAGGGAAATCCGACTCCCGGGGTAGAAGCAAAAGCCGGGGTCGAGATCGTGACAGAAGAAGAAAGTCCATAGGTCGGTCAAAGCCGAAATATGAGTTGAAGTGCTTTTACTGTGGAAAGACAGGACATAAGAAGCCAGACTGCTGGACCCTGCAGAATGATGAGAAGAATGGCTCTGCGAAGCCGGATCAGATTATTCCCAAGAAGAGGGAAGACATGAGCACCACTGCGGTGGCTGCCAACCCGAATGCCAAGATATCTCTCCTTGGTGAGGATAATTATTTGAATGTTGCATATGATGACTGCACCTGGATTGTTGACTCCGGTGCCTCCTTCTACGTTACTCCACACATAGGTTTTTTCTCCTCTTATTGAGATGGTGATTTTAGAGTCGTGAAGATGGAAAATCAAGTGACCAGCAAGATTATTGGTGTCGGTGATGTAACTCTGACCACGGATGTCGGATGCCGACTTGTGTTGAAGGTTGTGTGTTGATGCAGTTGGGCAAAGTGATCGCCTATGCTTCGAGGCAGTTGAAACCTCACGAGGAGAACTACCCTACTCATGACTTGGAGTTGGCTGCTATTGTGTTTGCTTTCAAGATTTGGAGGCATTATCTTTTTGGTTTGAGGTTTGTGGTGTTCAGTGACCACAAGAGTTTGAAGTACCTGTTCGACCAGAAGGAGTTGAACATGAGGCAGAGGAGATGGATGGAGTTCATAAAGGACTACAACTTCGAGCTGAGGTATCATCCTGGCAAGGCCAATGTGGTAGCTGATGCTTTGAGTCGAAAATCCAGTAGTTCATCCAGCTTGTTACTTGCTAACTTTGATGTGGTTGAGAAGTTCCGAAACTTGGCAGTGATCGCTCCGTGTGAGAGTGTACTTCTCGAGTTAGAAGCATCTGATGTTGTGAATGAGCTGCTTGAAAAGATTAAAGAGGCACAAGTTCAGAGAGAGTGTCTGGATTATGTGAAGAACCAAGACGGTGTGTCTTGGAATGATGATGGATTGCTTTTGTTTCAGCAGAGGATTGTAGTTCCTCGAGGCCCGTTGACAGAGGAGGTTATGGCAGAAGGCCATAAGGGTCAGTTTTCTATCCACCCTGGTGCTACTAAGATGTATCAAGACTTGAAGAAGAACTTCTGGTGGCCGGGCATGAAGAAAGATGTTGCTATCTTTGTGTCTAAGTGTTTGGTTTGCCAGAAGGTGAAGATTGAGCATCAGAGACTGTCTGGTGAACTTCAACCTCTCGAAGTACCACAGTGGAAGTGGGAAGGTATTTCCATGGATTTCGTGGTGGGATTACCAAAGACTCAGGCGGGTTGTGACTCTATTTGGGTCGTTGTGGACAGGCTGACGAAGTCTGCCCATTTTCTTCCAGTGAAGGTGAGCTTCACTACGGAGCAGTTGGCCAAGCTTTATGTCCGCGAGATTGTGAGGCTTCACGGGGTGCCCGAGAGTATCATTAGTGATAGGGACCCGAAGTTCACATCTCGGTTCTGGGAGGCGCTGCAGGAGGCTTTTGGTACGCAGTTGAGATTGAGTACCACCTATCACCCTCAGACTGATGGACAGACTGAGAGGACCATCCAGACCTTGCAGGACATGTTGCGAGCTTGCACGTTGGAGCAAGGCTCGGCATGGGATAGGTACCTTCCGTTGGTTGAGTTTTCTTACAACAACAGCTTTCATGCTAGCTTGGGCATGACGCCCTACGAAGCACTGTATGGTAGGAGGTGTCGAACTCCTACTTGTTGGTCTGAGGTTGGGGACAAGGAGCTTTTTGGCTTAGACTTTGTCCAAGATACCACCTTGCAGATCCAGATGATCCGTGAAAAGTTGAAGCAGGCGCAGAATCGCCAGAAGAGCTACTATGATTCCAAGCATCGTCCGCTGGAGTTCAGTGAGGGTGAGCACGTGTTTGTGAGACTTTCACCTGTCACCGGTGTTGGTCGGGCACTCGGAGTGAGGAAGCTGAGCCCGCGATATATTGGGCCATACCAGATCCTTGGTAGAGTAGGGCCTGTTGCCTACCGGCTTGCCTTGCCTCCGAACCTGGCTAACATCCACGACGTGTTTCACGTGTCTCAACTTCGGAAGTACATAGCAGATCCTTCGCACGTGGTGCAGCCGAATGATGTGGAGGTTCGGGAGAACCTGAAAACTCCCGTCGGACCACTCAGAATTCTCGATCGTGGCGAGAAGCAGCTGAGGAGCAAGATCATTCCAATGGTCAAGGTGCAATGGACCGGAAGAACTCCTGAGGAGTGTACTTGGGAGCGTGAGGACGAGCTTCTCCGACAGTACCCCGAGTTTCGACCAGGTATGTTTCTGATTTTGAGGTCAAAATCCTAAAAAGGTGGGGTGAATGTAAGAACCCGCACCGTTAATTAAGGTATTTAATTAATTAATTATGTGAAAATAGGAAATGATTCTATAATTGACCTTAATATTTATTAAGAAGCTTTAATAATTATGGTAAGTGATTAAGAATGCTGAAAGTCGCTTTTCGGAAGAAAAGTGCAGATACCGATTCTGCTAGTCGGTATAAATGCGTACCGAAAAAGTATCCCGGAAAATTAATGTAAGTGCATGATAATTACTAGAATAATATATAGGACTTGTAAAACGAGTTTTAAGTCCAAATAATGAGAACTGATGCCAGAAACTGATACTGGCTATGAAAAACGCGTACCGGAAAAGTGCTCAGAAAAATATAATAAAAATATGAAAATTCTTTTAAAATTGAGTAGGTTATGAATCCAGAGTTTGGGATTAAAATGCTAAGCGTAGCAATTAAAGCTAATACTGTGTGTTTTAACCCTTAAGTGGCCTATAAATACAATAGTTGGGCACAAAACCCTAGGTGTGTTTTTTGAAAGAAACTCAGCGGCTGAGTGTGGCTTCTCTTTAGAGTTTCTTGGAGTCCTAGTCTTCTCCTCTAAAGTTTCCATTTTTTTTCTTCCTCTCTTCCATTAAAACACCACCCATCCTTTAAAGCTTTAGTTGTGTTGAAGGAGAACCCTTTGTTGAAGATTTGGGTGCTTTCTAAACCTCTCAAGTTTTCATTTTTCTGTTCTAAAAGGAATCAAGGTAAACTTAATTATCTCTTTGTAAATCCATAATTTTGAGTATAATATGTGTTATATGTTACTGTTGATTCAGAACCCATGTTAATTTAAAGAAAACATTCGTATACTGTGCGCTCTTCCACTGTAGATGGCTTGTTGTTTTGTCTTTTTATGATTTGGGTGCATCGATTTGCGTGACTCCATATGAAAT